CATTTTCAAAAATGAAATTCAGGCCCTGAATAAATGTCTAAAAATCCTGATTGGAGTATCACTATAAATAGCTTTAAAAAGATCGGTATCGGCAGGTACTGCTTTCTGTGATCGGCGATCGGCTTCAAAAATCCTGATCGGAGCACCCCTACACCCCACCACAAGAAAATACTGGATAAAAGTTAAGTTGCAGGCTAAATTCAAACTCAAATTTCCAACATAAGCACCACAGTTCAACATGTCTGGAGCACAACATATGCAAACTAGCAACCTTTCATTTACCAACTTTTAACTACTACCACTACACCACCTCACCTCTGGAAATACTGTATAAAGGTATGCTGCAGGCTAAATTCGAACCCAATTTTCCCAAATAAGCACTAAGGTTTAACATGTCTGGAGCACACATGCAAACCTCTGGGCTACATTTCAAAGCGAAAAGATGGTCATACCTGAGGGGGTGGACGTGGGGGGAAGGTGCAGGGCGGCCTGCCGTGTTTCTGGTGAAATGGCAGGACATACGAGGGGTCCAGGGGAACCCAGGGAATCCCCGGAGACACAGCTGGGGGTCCGCAGTGTGCATTCTGCAGGTGGTACACCCCGCGAGCAGCCTTGGTCTCATCGCTAGCTTTAAAGATGGTCACGAAACCCTCACGAGGTTTGTGGACTAACAGGTATCGTCCTTCCAGTAATCTGGGGCAGGTGTTAAAAGACGCCTTTATTAAATTACAGGAATTAAATGAAAGGAAACTTTTAGCTGATGACAAGCTTTCCAGTGCACCAACGAAAATGTCACATTCTTACAAATACTGAACTACAGGCTCAATACCTAAAGCTTACGCATGTCATTTTTAATGTTAAAATGCTTTCACATACCCTAGCTTAATATGCAGAATTACACACTTTTAACGACAGATTGAAAGACTGATTTCACATTAGGAAATGCAAATCGCGCTAAGGGTAAAGTGACAATTTTAAAATTGATCTAAAAAAGTGAAAGAAACTCACGATGAGACTTTTTTCAGTAAGTGGTAGAGGGTGTTTAAACATCTAGTTGGCCTGGGAAAAAAAATTAAATCACATTAAAACTTGACACAAGAGATAAAATATTAATATAATTAATAACTATAAATTAATGTTTCAAATACATTTTAAAATGAATAAATTATAAAATAAATTATAAAAAATACAAATAATTAAATAAATACTATTACAGTATTTCAGATGAGAATCTGTGAGAATTTGTAAAACATGTAGACATTCTTTAAAAAAAAAAATCAGTAAAACTTTTTGGAATTGGAATTTTTTAAAGTTTTATTTAAACAATTAAAAATTGACTTTATATAGAGATTCACTCACTTGAAGTCACAGGTGACGTTCTGAATCCAGTCGTCGGGCAACATCTGCATCTGTGCCACTTCTGATGTGTGTGCATTGATGCGACCTACACAAATATCAAACAGTTTGTGAACAACTAGCCTTTTAAATGCTCATACTACATTAAGTAGATTGCCCATTTTCTTTTTTTTGCAAGTCTTTAATCTTAACTGATAATACTTCCATTCATTTTCCGTAACGGCTGGTTAAGCTACATTTCTATTTAACAGTCAATAGCTAAAGAAGTTAAAGTCTGCAGAGCCTTAAACCAACTCACAGTCTGAAGAACATCTAAATCTGTCAACATGATGTGATGCGGAGCAAAAGTACACGTATTGACCTGCAACACAAACTCAGGCTGTGAGAAACACTGTGAATGTTGCAATAATTGTTCACACATATTTCACACTGATGGTGTCATTCGGAGTTCATGCAAAAAGAAAATGATCTCCACACCCCTACTTGTTCATCTGTGTATGGGAATCGCTGCTCTAGGCCAAATAACACAAAAAAGAGGACGTGATGACATTTCACCAATTATTCTTCAAAATCCAAAGAGGATGAGCAACAATTGGAACGGTTTATACCAATGAATAATTAATAAATGGAAAAAAAAAAAAGCCTGACATGACACGGAAGATTGAAGTAATGATGCTGAAAATGTTACATTTTAAAATATATTCAAATAGACAAGATATTTTTAAATAGTAATTAGTGCTGTCAATCGATTAAATTTTTTTAACTAATTAATCGCACATTTTCTCTGAAATTAATCGTGATTAATCCAACCAAACATTAAAGTTTTTACTAGGGATGCACCGATACCGATACTGGTATCGGTATCGGGCGAGTACTGGAAAAAGTGGTATCGGTGCATCCCTAGTTTTTACATATACTGTTATATTGCAATAATTTCACATTTAATCTTCAAATTAATCTAGAAAGAAGATAAAGACAGAATATTTTAAATACTTTTTTTAATATTTGTTATTCTTTTTTTATGACTGAAGGCCAGTATCACTGATACCAATACTACTGATGTCTCTAGGAAATTGTTTCCCCCCTTATATTTAACCATTGACTATAGTCATTCAACATTACAGTATAATTGAGAGCTAACAATTTTAACATTTATTAGAATGTTAAATTTATTAGAACTTACTAGAATTTATTAGAACTTTTAAAAATAACTTCTAATTTAAATAAACTTAAAACAATCTTCATATAAACCCATTATAATAAAAGTCATATTTAGCTTCCTTTTACCATTCGGCAAGTTGGAAATATACAGAATTTGAATGAAGTTATCAAACACTAAATTAAATACAGATGAATCCTTAAAGCTACAAAAGTTATTGATTTCCTCTTTTTCTTTTATTCTTTGATTAACAGACATCACAGCAGCTGGGTTATTAGGTTATTTGGCTGCTATTACTTTAAGAGCTGCATCTGACATGCATCGTATTTTCTCACAACTCTGTACTTTTTCGGACTCACTTCAGGTCTTAAAGTCTCAATAATGAGCTGACGAGTTGAATTGAGTGTATTAGATGAGGGAGACATGTTCTTTTGAAAACATGTTCTTAAATGTAACTCATATAACAAATACTTACATGCATACACAATTTTAAGGCAGCTTTAATTGCCTTTTTGGTAACTTCATGACTTAACTGATGACATAACTACGACATTGCCCGGTCGTAGTTTCTTTCGCGCTTTGATATGAAATGATACAGGCTACAGCGTGCGCCGGCACATTTGTGCGTGCAATTGAAGAGCACGCGCTACAAGCACAGTATCGTTTCCGCACTTGTTTGACTCGTGCCTGCCACTGAGGCGAAGTGAAGTGCGCATCTAAAAAGTCTCCCATTTGATATGGTCGTAAAGACGTTCTGCATCTAAATAAATGCAATTCTTGTCAAGAAAAACGAGACAGAAGTAGCAGTTGTGAGTGGGGTGGCCAATCATAGCTCCGCCCCTGCGTTAAATATTTTTAATGCATTGAATTGAAAAAATTAATTGCCTGCGTTATCGTGCTAATTTTGACAGCACTAGTAATAATATTCCACAACCTTACTATTTTACTGTAATTTTAATAAACTAAATGCAGCATAGGTGAGCATTATAGACTTGCTTCAAAAAACAACATTAAAAAAATCTTATATAAAGTCGTACTTATATCATTTTGTGACTTATCTGCCTCAGTAAAATGCTCAGCTAGAAAGTTCTCTTGAACCTTGTAAAAATATGTCCAGACTGTGAAGATACCAGCCCATTCTGTTATCAGTAGGGCTGGATCCTGGACTAGACCCAGAAAAGACTACATTCCTTTAATAACCCTAAAAGAATCTCTAAAGCAAACGATACGCCGAGAGCGAGGCTCTTCTGCATTCTTCTGTGATTCTGAGGTATTTTCACCTGCAGGCACAGACTGCTGTCAGGCACATTGTGGGCATTCTTAAAATCACTGTCAGTGTTACAGGCTTCCTCAAGGTAGACAGAAAATGTCAGGTTCCCAATTCTCCAAACTTTAGCAGTCTGTTCAGCAGAAAAGGAGTCTCTTTCCTTCTTTCTCTTATAATGGAGAAACCCAAGTAGCCCTTCACCCACAGCGATATGTCACATGTGGTTGCATTCTTCTGCAGCCCTTTCAAAGTTGAAATGTTAGTAGCTACGGCAACCCTGACTCAAAACAGTGAGTCATGCGTCATGAGAGAGGCATGCTGGGAGTTTATGGGAAGTTCACTTTTGTACTGACTCTTGTTACCAAAACTAACACTCCAGATACAACATGGATACTTCTGCCTGTCTGAATTTGCTTCATTAAAAAAAAGAAAAATTATATTAAACTTGATGGTGATTTGCACAATGCTTTTTTTTTTTTAATCATCCAATATATCGAAGCATGAACAATGCTTTAATTTGATAATACAAATGAATCGCTGATTCAGGTAGGAATTGATTTATCACATTTTTTTACCTACATGTATTTTTACTACATTTTCAAGGATGAAAAATGCTTTGATTCAATGATTTGTTTGCATAAATAATAAAATTAGTTGAATTAGTTATGAACTGATTCATTAAAATTTTCACCTAGATATATTTTTTACGGCAACATTTCACAGCGTAAGCATTGCTATAATTTGAATCCATAATGCAAATGAATCATTGAATCTGTTATGAATTGATGCATTGAAATTTATGCAGTAATTTAATAAAGAAAATTATTTATACATTTAAAAAATACATTTTTAATTTAAAACATTATTATAAAAACAAAACAATATATATTTAATATTATTATTAATATTAAATAACAATATTATAAAAATGAATTGAAATCATCTTCTTATAAAAATTCTTAATTATCATTTTCTTTGACATGAACCAATGTAACAAAGCATGAAAATGCTTAATTTGATATCGCAAATGAATTGCTGATTCAGTTATGAATCGATTCATCAATTTTTACCTACATATATTTTTACAACATTTTCAAGACTCAAAAATGCTTTGATTCAATGATTTGTTTGCATTATCAAATCAAATTAGATTAATCTAAATTATTTTATCAACATTTATTTTTACTACATTTTACAGCATTAATCTGTTAAATCTGTTATGAATTGACATTAAAATGTTCAGTTTATTTTTATTACAAAAACTTGACTTGCTAATGCAAATGAATTATTAAATCAGTTATGAATTTATGAACTGAATTGATAAGATGTTATTAAAAGCCCATCGCTTTTTTTAGCGCTGCAACACTACATATTTTCATTTCTACAGGTCACGCGAATATGATCTTTTTTAAATGCTCTCACACTATAGATATTTTCTTCTCCATCTGATTTGATTAAACAGATTAGTGACAGAATTACAGCATATAGCACCCTATAAAACTGCATAACCTTTTATGACAAAGAGAAATAAAACACATTTCATCAGGTCTCTTACTTATGAAGGACACAGTACTGGAGTGCAGAAGTTTCTCGGCCCACAGCTGACAGGCCTCAGTGTGGGTCAGACTCTCGGCCCCGTAGCACAGCTGATACTCCAGCTTGGGTAAAACATGCACCGGGACGGCCTGGATGAGAGCAGACTCAATCATTACCCACTCAAATGGCAGTTCCGAGTCACTGTGCTCTATAAACACACGCAGAAGAAATCCTGTGCTGCGTTGAGAACCATTGACTGGAAAGAGTCTGTTAAAACATTGATAAGATTGAAAAGTCAACTCTACAGCTTTGCACAGGAAAGCCGACTGTTTAAAGAAAGGGTGTGGTGGACATTACTCAACCCTGGTTAAAATATAAAGATTAATGCTTGGCATATTGACATACTGATTCAAATCCAATAAAGGGTCGCTAAAAATCACTGACAATGATAACTAATAATGATAATAAGATGCATTGTGAGTGTTTACACTAGAGCCCGACCGATATGGGTTTTTTGGGGCCGATACCGATACCGATATTAGGGAGTAAAAAAAAAGGTCGCGTATTCTACTGAAATAGGCTACAGGGGGAAAAAAGAAAGAAAGGGAAAAAAGTCAATCATTAAACAACACTGCGTCGTCAGTGTTGGTATTGTATCAGACACTTGCACTTAACAGGCTATATGAAAAACAAGCTCAAATGGAGCTAACAAGGTTTTTGGCCGGCGAATGAGGAGATCTGTGTTTTGTCTGTCGGCATATCGGCGACATATTCGCCGATACCGATATATCGGCAACAGGCTCATATCGGCCGATAATATCGGCAAAACGATATATCGGTCAGGCTCTAGTTTACACAAGACCTGAGGAGTTTAATGATGTTTGAAATCTCATCTGTTGCTCTTGGGGCGTGTACTTCAACCTTTTAACTAAAGGATCATTGTGTTTGTGTATTAGCATGTGTCCAGCTCACCCTGAAGGTGTCTTTGTCGTGTCTGGGGTGAGCGATGTCCACACTGCTGCGCACCATGAGCAGAACGTCCAGCAGGCTGTAGAGTTTGTACAGAGCGCTGCCCTCTGCTGGAGGATCGTAGTCCATCTCATCCTCAGCACTGACCTGAAGATCCTCCTTCAGAAGACCTGCGATAGATGGATGAACTTTTTGTGCAAGAAACCTTGACTTTAATATTATAAAAATATCAAATACGGCCCCTTTAGATCATAATATTATTATTAAATGCTAGTATTATCAGATTTTTCCCCTCTTACATGTGACACAGATCTGTTTTTTTGAATGCAACTGTGAACGGAAAAATCAAATGTTGATTTGACACACTGAACCTGATATTTGAAATTATTTCAATACATAATAATAATAATAATGGACTTAATCTTGCATATACAATGTGTGTGTGTGTGTGTATATATATATATGTATATTTATGGCGGTAAAACTGCATACCGCGCTATTGAGACACTCAATTACCGCAAGGGAAATTCCCTCACGGTGACAGCCCTACATCATGGGCCACATTTAAAAGGAAGTTTGAATAACCTCCTCACAAAAACATAATTTGAGCCTGATTTTTTGCCTCTGAGAGGGTGTTTTGAGCACTAACGTTTTCTTTGAGTGGCTAGCAGCACAGGAACATCAGCAGGCAGTGTGGTGTCCTCTTCCTGTCCCGCTCTGGACTCCAGATACAACGTCACACACTGTTTGACCAGCGAGTGGGCTTTAGCTTCTGGAGGTTTGTCTTCTGGGACGTGGGGCTTCACAGGCTCCTGGTTCTTGCTGGGGGTGGATTTCAGCATGGCGTCCTGCATCTTCAAAATCTGTCCGAGCTGATCGCATTCACCGGATATTCGGGGTCTTTTGATGCCCTTCTTTGTTCCTTTGCCCGAAGGGTTTGCAGGGCCTGGCGTGGCTGGCTCGGGTGCTTGTGGGGAGGACACCTCTGCGGCTGTCACCTGGGTCTGAGGTCTCTGTGGGGAGAAAATGTCATCTATGACTAGTCGTTCTTCATCAGAATCCAAATCCTTGTCTGTCTTGTCTTTCATCATATGTCTGGGCCGCTCGGTGGGAGGACACTGAGCTGAAGACGTTTCCATCTTCTCTTCTGCATCTTCACTCACACTTTCCTTCTCTGAAATGGCACATTTATTCAGCGTACCGTCTCCCTCATCGGCCAAAGTGTCGGTTTCTCCTTGGACCTTAGCCACAGTCAACTCAAGGGGTTCTGTGGGAGCGTCTTGAGATGTTGAGGTGCGTTTTGTTGTACCTACAGAGTCTGTCGGTTTCTTGAGGCTTGGGATATGTTGAGATGGAGTTGCGGTTGGATTTGTAGAAGCTGTTTTTGGTTCATTCTGCTCCTTCACTTTCTTACTGGGCTTGTAGGACTCCCCAAATGACTCCAGGTCTGTTAGATCACACCCAAAATCCATACCAGCATCATCAAATGCAGCCATACTCCTGGAGATCTTGTCCTGGGCAGAGTAAAGCTAAATAAATAACATTTACAACGTTTATATTTTAAATATTTCTCACATAGCTCACAGTTATTTGGATTTACTTTACATTTATTTATTTAGCAGACACTTTCCTGAATAATAACATAATATACAGATATATAAAATAAAAGAGTTGTATAATATAGTAGTACAATATAATAAGCACACAATATAATAAACACACATAATTCCTTTTTTTCTTCACAAAAATATTAATTCATTCATTCATCAATTTATATATACATTACCGGTCAAACCTTTGGAATAATTAAGGGTTTTTTAAAAATGTTTGCTCTTATGACTCTTATGCTCACCAAGCCTGCATTTACTTGATGACTAATACAAATAAAAATGTTATTACAATTTAAAAGAAGTCTTGTATTTTAAAATGTAATTTATTCCCGATTCAAATTAGATTTTTCAGCAGCCATTTCTCCAGTCCTCAGTGTCACATGATGCTTCAGAAATTATAAAACATAATCAAAAACAATAAATTTATTCCAAAATTTTGACCACTAGTGTTTGCTTAATAATAAAATAATAAACAGATATATGAATTAATATCATATAATTACACTCTATATATATATATATATATATAAATAAAAATAAATAAATAAATAAATATATATATATATATTATTGCTATATTAATTATTAAATATATTGCATATTTTAGCTGTAGTTACTAAACAATTTTGTCAGGGAAAATTTCTGTTTTTGCAAGTTTTTTTTTTTTTTTTTAATCCACAACTACTTACAAGTAAAGAATAATCCATTCTTTATGAAAGTGGTTTAAAAAAGAGCCAATAATTACAATGATTAATTAGTAATTTATTAACAATAATTAATCTGCAATATATTTCACTCTCTGGTGTTTCGTCTTACCGTGGTAAACATCTTACCTCAGGAGGAGGCTGCATTTCAACAGGCAGCTCTTCTGAAGTGAGGAAAAACACAGGACGTGACACGGTCTTCTTGAATGCCAGCTTCACGCTCTCTTGATGAAACAGCAGGCTCCTCTCTCTCCAGCTCAGCTCCGTCTTCAGCAGAGGAGGATCGATGTATGCCGTCTTACTCTGACTGCTGCCTGAGAACAACCACAACATTCATCATGTGAGAGTATTGACTGGATTACAATCTTATGGTCTACAATGAAGCATTTAAAACATGAAGTGACTCTTCACCATTCATGGGATTCACTTTGACCCAAACGGGGAGCTCCCAAGCTTCTGTGAGCTCAGAGCTGTTATTCAGGAGCTGAAGGAAGGCCTCTTTAGATAAACACACTTGTGGCTCGTAAGTAGCGCTGAGTTTTTCTGCATTACTGTCATTGCTGATGGCCTGCAGATATTAAGAGACACCAGGATTAACTAAAGTACTATATTTGATTCCCACAGGTCCATCAAAATGAATTCATGAGGTGCGGGGATACAATTCAATATATATCAGAATCAAATATATCAAGAGTGGTAATTCAAACCAAATGCAACAGTGCCCTCTAGTGGTTAAGGCCACATTTTACAAGATAGAGACCTACACTGCTTATATAAAACAGAAATTACATGGTTGAATCTAACAAAACGAATTGTTTGCTTTCATGAAACTAACCCTTTAAGAAAGAAAATAAAAAATTTTGTCTTGTTTTAAGCATAAGCTCACTTAATTTTGTTCAATTTCTCAGAAAAAAAGACTTCACATCTTCAGTTTGCATCTGAAGTAAATGTCTTGATTTAAGGATGTTTAGATATTTGTATTGGAGGGAAAAAAAACTGAGGAAGTTATTTATTTTTTCAAAGGGCCATTGTAGCCTAAACATTTAACACAATAATAGCTTTAAATTATCTTTTGGGAGTATTTTCACAGCCAAATTTAGTTTGTGATTAATTAGATTAATCCCAGCACCCCGTAAATAATTAGATTAAAAATGTTAATCGACTGACAGCCCTAATATATATATATATATATACATACATACTCACACTATCACAGACAGGCTACTTACAGTGTGAACTGAAGTTGCTTTTTTAGCTGGAGGAACCACATTTGACACGGTCTCATAGTCTACAGGAAGTTGGGTGTTTTCTGCCATGACTTTTTTGTCTAGCATATCTATTTTACCCTGAGGAGAAAATACAGTAGAGATAGATATAACAAACAACAGTATATCACACATTCAAGTTCATAAAAAAAATAAAATAAAGAAAACGAAGTACCAAAGCAAGAAGCTGTTTCTCAAAGTTGAGAGAGAGTTCACCCACAAACTTTACACTGGTCAGACTAGTAATCTCTTGAATGCTGTAAACCTGTGGGTAACTCTTCACATGCTCCAGACAGGCTGTAAAATATTCCTGTTGGGAAAATCACACAAAATCAATTAAAGGGATAGTTCACCCAAAAATGAAAATTTGATGTTTAACTGCTTACCCCCGGGGCATCCAAGATGTAGGTGACTTTGTTTCTTCAGTAGAACACAAACAAAGATTTTTAACTCAAACCGTTGCAGTCTGTCAGTCATATAATGGAAGTGAATGGGAATCACGGCAGACTTAGAAGTGCATTACTGCCACCTATCTCTCAAATGGACCATTGACACTCCCACTTCCATTATAAGACTGACAGACTGCAACAGTTTGATTTAAAAATCTTCGTTTGTGTTCTACTGAAGAAACAAAGTCACCTACATCTTGGATGCCCCGGGGGTAAGCAGATAAACATCAAATTTTCATTTTTGGGTGAACTATCCCTTTAAATGAATAACGTACAAATGTATTTTATTATAAAAATATATTTTTTATTAATTATTTGAATTAAAATTAAATGATAAAGAATGTAATTAAACACAATGATTTTTGTGTAGACATTTGAATAGTAAACTAAATAAATAAATAATACCTCAGTGTAGCGGCTGCTGCCTGGTGGCATATAGTTGTACCCATCAGCACATGCTCTAGAAACATCTTGCAGGTATTTCATAAACTCTGTCACCTCGTTCTTCACCTGCTCCATCAAACACTTTGAAATGAGAAACAAGATGAACCACATGAAAATAGCCTTGCATCCATGTGGCTCAATCAAAACTGCCTCACTGTTAAAGGCAGGCGATCAGGGTGAGAGATGGTCTACCTTTGAAGCTTTGAAGTAATTCTTGCGGGCGAGCATGTTGAGATACATCTTGCGATTCTTTATACTGAGGGTGGAGAAGCAAGGGTAGGGCACTAGAGGCTCAGGGAACGCTGGGATCTCAGTTCTCTTCACAGGTTTGGCTTCGGTTGGTTTGCATTCAGACGTGGGCTCATCTGATGCAAGGATGTTACTGACATCTGAACCTCCATCACACTTCACAGTCTTTGCTTCTGCTGAGGGTCCGTCTGGCTTTTTCTCACCGGTCTCCTCGGATTTTCTATTAGAGCTTTGAAGAAAATAATTAAAAATAATACATCTCAATAACACATCATGACTTAACCCTGTTGTAGTCTTCTGTTATTTTAGACAGTAACATTTACTTAATAATTTTTTTTTTTTTTAAGTGTAAGTGCTCATTTGGTCTATTTTTAACCTAAACACTGCATTAACAATTTTTTTAGTAGTAGTAGTAGTAATAATAATAGTAAACTAGGCAAAAAAATAAAAAAATAATATTAATAATAATAAAGTGTAACATGGCCACAAATTAAGAATTAATTCCCTCGATTTAGTAAATTGTAGCCTTATTGTACTAAGTCATTCCCTCGTTTTGATTTAATTAAAATGTAAACTTAGTACAACATGGCCACGATTTAATAAAACAAGGGAACTAATAAGTCATGGGAACAAATTATTAACTCATGGCCATGATTTATCTAAAACAAGAGAGCAAAATAATAAATTGAGAGAACGAATTCTTAATTCGCAGCCACAATAAATAAATTTTTGCCCACATGTCATGTTCAGGGCTCTGTGGTAAATAGTATTAAATGTTTATATATTTTTTAAATTCATTATTATATAGCCTATAGAACTAAATGGTGCATAATTTAGAGCCAAAATAAATAAACAATAATCCCCCCCCCCCCACACACACATCTATAGAGTACCCCTTACAGTAATTCCCGTGATTTTACTATAGCAACTATGGCAATTTGGTAGAAATGTTGTACATTCAAGTATTTAGGCTTCTATTTTCCCATATTGTAGCATTGATAGTTGTAAACCATAGTTACACGATCTAATTATGTTTATGAAGAGCCGTTTTATATGTGGTTAGTATGGTCTCGCTATTAATAACACGGTTTAACAACAGTTATCAAGAACTATAGTACATATAATATATAGATTTGACCAGAGTCACCTAACGTTAACGTTACCTGTGTAAAAGAGCAAATAGTTCTTTGACGTTGGGCGCGAGAGTGAACTTGTCAAACACATCTCTGGAGAACACAAGCGGAGCAGAGACAGGAGCATCATTCCTGAGGACAAACCAGCACACTGAAGCTGACTGAGTTTATACAACTAACTAGCGATAATACAACTGAGAACAAGCACTGACACTGTCTACATAATTTATCAATAAACTGTGTTTATTTAGCGAATCATGTTGTCACCTACCATTTTATCTCCATTGCAGCAGGTTTTTAGATGTAGATGTAGTTCTTCACATCGTTAAATCATCCTACATACTCTCAGGACAGTGCGGTGCGAATGCGATAGTTTAATCTTCCGGGGAGAACCAAAACATGACACGAAGGTTCCGCTTCCTATCACACGTTGGAAATTTTTCGCAATATATTTCTTAATTATTATGCTGTTATTGGTATAATACATTTGTGACAATAAAAAAAAAAAAAGTACTTCCAGTGGTATAGGGTTTTGTCGGGACATGCTGAAAAATATCACTAAATAGCAGAGGCGGACAGTAACTAAGTATAGTAAAGCCACAGAAGAACTGTTGTGCATCTCCTAATAAAACACAATATTTGACCAGAGTAATATTTGACCAGCAGTATCTGTACTTTCTCTCAAGTAATGGAGTTGAGTACTTTGTCCGCCTCTGCTAAATAGCTGGATTTACTAAGTTTTGCGTCATACTTTAATGAACATTTTCAAAAGTTAGAATGTGTTTAATTTACCTATAATATGTAAATACAAGTAAGTATTAAACGTAGATACGTTTTATTTATTTATCTCTTTTACTTGATCTTTCAATCAGATGTGTTTGGTGAGACACGACTTTTAAACTGACACAGTATTCAGTCCCTTTACATTTTATACAAATTAAAAGATTCTGAAAGCCTCCTGTAGGCCTACTGTTCGAAGATTTCACATTAACTTATTAGGTTTGTTCACTAATGTACTAAATAATAGCCATGGTATGGTATTTTAGAGAAAAATTACGAAAATTAACCATAGTTTTGCTACAAAAACCATGGTAACCACAAAGGTTTTGCTACACTAGTTAAACCATGGTATCTGCAGTAGCCTAAAACGGTGGTTATACAAATGGTAGTCAATACCCACACACACACACACAAAATAAATAAATAAATAAACAACATGGTTACTACTTTTACCATAATAAAACCATGGTTATTTTTTATAGGCTGTCATCTGACTTGTTTAATTAATCTTTGGAAATCGCAGACTTTTATTGTGACGTTGTTGATTCCAAGTTAATGTTGCCAAACTCTGCAAGCCACTTCAAACTATTTGAGCCCATACTCATATTCTATCTCAAATGTTCTACATATTGAAACCTTTTAATGTCTAGTTTGCCTCTTCTTTGAAAAAAAACGTAAGTCTGAACCCGTATTTCTACGTTCTACAAAAGGCTACATTTTCATATTTTTGTTGTTATTTCTTGTTGACTGACATTGAAATATTCCATGCATGCTTTACAAAAATGCTTCAACTATATAAAATATAACATTAGGGTAACGTAAGTTCTCTTTTAAATGTTGTTCTGTTTTTCCACTCTTTTTAAATTTCTCTGAAGGTTGTGCGGAACTTCAACCATATGAACTACATAAAGAAGTATGACACATTGAATAAGAGCCCATTACAAGCGGTAAATTTTATTATGGGATAACAGCACATAAAGCACATCTAAAATCGATGTGTCCAATGCACTTTTAATAAAGGTAATATTAAAGGTACAGTTTCTAAGTACAATATAACAACATTCATATTAGAATGAAAAGTATTTAAAAGACAACATTAAATTTCTTATTTTTCTTTACAGCGGTATTTACAAAATGAATCAAAATACTTATTTTCATATTTAAGAATCAGACAAACAGAAGGAGCAAAACCACTATTGAGAAGAGACTATCTCCTAAAGAGAGTTCCAAAGAGCTGAATAAAAAGGTACATGATTGACTATCCCCATTTTAAGATCAGTAGCAAACATGTGACATAAAAATATGTGACAACCGCAAACCGTTCTCTGCTTTTTTCCCCCCGCAGGAAAGCAGGAGCAAAATCCAACCTGTCTTGCCCCAGCCCTTGTGCCCTCCCCTTCAGCTCAACAAGAAATAGAAGTGTAGTATGCATCATTTTACATACACATATGAACACTTAAAATACATTGCATTAGTCATTTTGTTTCATAAACGTCAACTTAAAACCTAATTGGCAGGAAACAACAGGGAGAACACAGGGAGTGGATTGTCTATTGTCTGCCAGTTTGTCTCTGCAAATATCCAAACGGGGTTCGCGTTTAACATCCAGCCAGGGTGCAACTGACTGGATGCAATGTCCCATAACCACGTGAAGTTGTTCGGAGGAAAAGAAAAAGTAGCGTCTGAGAATCTCAGAAAATACAGGACATCACAGAGACAAGAAAATGCCATTTCCATGGCTATAAACAAACATGAAATGCCTCATTTACATACAAAAAGACGGCCGATGAAAAGAAAAGTTGGTAACACAAGACAGAATTCACCTACGTGTGCGCAAACAGTCATTTGAGTACGTGAAAACAAAATGGACGAATAGAGTTTCTGCATCCTGTACCACTGAGAGGCACTCAGTGTAGTTTGCTATGTATTATTGCAAGTAGATTCTGCCTTGCTACAAAGATAAAAACAGGAAGTTTCGCACAAAACTTCGTACAACCGCCTTTGTCCTGTACATTTTATAACACTTAACGATTGTGTGTGTATGTAAGTGTAAGTGAGCGGGGAAAAAAATGAATGTTTAGAAAGCGTGTTTTTAAAAAAAAACAGAGGGTAGAATCAACAAAAAATGGAGGGAGCCAAAAAGCGGCAGACAATCCGGTACTTTATCGCGTGTTTAAAGTCCTTCCAGCGCCCAGTACAGAAAATAAGCACTGGATTAGAAACACCTCCAGCTACAGTTTCAAAACAATCAAAAAGAAACACAATACTGCTGCTTTTTTCAAATTTTTTTTTAAGCATGAACAATCATCGTTGCGAAAAATTCAAAATTGCGACGTTTAATAGCGATTTACTTAGCCGATATTTGCTAATAATCTTAAAAGTTGGAAGGAAACAAGCCGCGTCCCAAGACTAGCACACTGATACAGGTACTTGCCGGGTATTCGAAAGTAAATTTACCACTATCATTATCTTTATTGTTATCGTTATTATCATTATAATAATTATTATTATTTTATTGAGTCCTAATATCAATAATGCATCAATACTCAGTGAAATGAATGGACTAAGAGGGTGGCCTAGTCTATCAATCCATAATTTTTGTTCACAAAGTAACTTACCTAGCACCACACGTCAGTATAACACAAAATTTAATGTCCGCACACCCTACCGCTAATCGAACTAAGTCTAAAAGAGAGAAGTATACTCAAAACAGAGATATTGTACAGCATGATGTGTCTGATAAAACAGATAAATATTTGCACTGAGCAGGTCTTAATAGAAGTATTTTCTTCTTACCTATACAGACAGAAGTTACAAAGTTACTTTTATACATGTGATCGATAGAACATTAAATATCGTGAATTAAAAGCCGAAAGGAGGACAGGGAAACATAGCTGTACAGTTTACAGGCCATTTGACGTTCGTAGTTCTCCACCCGGGAACAGAACTAGTCAATACACAAATAAAACAAACAAACAAAAAAATGACAATCAGAGAGCAAAAAAAAAAAAAACTAATTTTACGCGATAAATAAGAAAATGTATTTACATGCAAATGTTCAAAGCCTATGCACAAAATGAATCATAATATACCATATATTATTGCTTGACATTCGATTATGGCTAAAGAGTCTATTATCTAAACATAGTTCACTTTTAATAACGCGTCAGCTGTGCTTTTGGAAAGAAAATGCAAGGAAAATGATTGACGTAATTCTTAGTAACACTTCAACCTTCAGCTCGAATGCTGTCGCCAGCATGACGCGTTAAATTCGTCGATTGGAATTGCAAAAAAACCAAATCTGTAAATGTGCCTTTCGTTCGAACGTGAGTGCATAGGCCTTGTTGCGTTTGCATAACTCTAATCGAAATTAACGTCGAGGTGCAGTGTGTCATGCTTGTACAGCCTCATCAAGGGATTCAAGCTCAGTGCTACGTAAAACATTTTAAATCCTGGGAAAAAAAACGTAAGATCCTACATACAATTCACCATCTCACCCTGCTGCGTCTGATCTTTTAAAGCCTTGTCTGGGGGTTTGACCTTAAGCAAACATTACAAATAATGTACTGCCGTCTTCTTTTGGCTTGACAGCAATCATGCTAGTGAATAACATGGTATGACATGAGCCTGTAGATTGTGAAAGATGAAAAATGAGGTTTAAAAAATTAACTACAGTAACAAATGAGTGTTTGTTCCCACATTTTAACATCATTACCCGGTTGTTTTGGGTTCAGTTCTGTTCCTAGTGAGCTGCCTTCCTGTCTGCTGTCTACTTCCTCCAAAATAGAACCTTCTAAGTGACTGATTTGGATCAATCTACATAGACAACAATTCTGTATGTCACATAAATAGCTCTCCTTATTAGTAACACATGGGTTGTCTCTGTTGCAATTGATTCCAATGGAGTTTTATGTTAGCATGTTGCTATGCTAAAAGCACAATACTTCTCCCATAAATTTTGGGTAAATATGACCTTTTTTTAAAATAAGATTGAACTATTATGTATTCATTATTTTCAGTATTGAATGAAATAGGTTTAAATCTTCGACTCCTACACCATGCTGAAATAACTTTTTTTTTTTTACAGATTTTGTTGTAGTACATTCTGGGATTGCCTTAAAATTTGGCTAAAACTTTTACTTTTCAGTCTTTTGAGACTGCTAAAATGCTGTCTAAGAAGGCAGCTCAATAGGATTTAGAACTGATTTCAGTATCCCTGCTCAATTATTATTCAATATTACTCTCCCTGAGCCTTGTAGTACACAAACTGCTGATTTACTGTATAAAGAACTAAACACGAACCTGGATTGTCAATTACAGATTGATGTATTGTAATAAACAGGACTTCTTGGGGATGCATTGCACAAACTCATATTTTGTGGACAGTAGTTATTGACACATAATTATGATAAAAACGCTACAGTATTTATCTGTACTGAACATGCCATCAAGATCAAATTATTGAGTTCTAGATGCAACATAGAGCTGACTAACGTGTTTAAGCTACCGGCTTCAGAATTGAGTTAGACAGACTCTTCCCTGAGGAAAATACTTGGTGTCATGGGGAAAGAAATTACATGTAGCTACCAAGATCTACTCAAAGTTTCTCAAAATGTCAGTTAGCAGGCCATAGATGTGATCTGTGGAGTTTTTTCCTGGATTCTATTGGGATTTTCTAAACGCCACAACATAGTTTTACTGGAATGTTACAATACAACAATTTTTTTCAGACTCTAAAAAAGCAGGAAAGACCACTATGGCACATTCAAGAGACGTACAAACACGCGCAACACACAACAGTTAGGTATTCCAAAAAATAGCACTATTACTACCATTGTCTTGTTCTTTGAAAGAGAAAATTCATAAAAAACACACAGATTCTAATTATTGCAGGATTAAGTGCTATATCATCCTTCGTTCTTTCCCCTTTTCTTTCATAGGCTTCATAAGCACTGTACAATGTTACAAAAATAGAGGATTTCAACCAGACAAGGCTTTGAATATTTCTCTTTTCGTCTTTTTTCCCCCCACTCTTACGTTCCCAACGAGTGTTGTTGCTGGGCAAAGACCCTCACGAGAGTCAGTTTAAGGAAGATCAGCCGTTCAGAAACCAGATCTGCTTCCTCCACACGTTCATGTGGCGCACCACCACTAGATGGAACCATTAAACAGCATGTGACGTGTGTGGAAAACGGTCCGTTTGCATTCAACAGCCCTTTAGACCTGGTGTGCTTAGGTTTTCATAATGGTGGCAGACGATGAGCGTTTGCTACAAATCCCCCCCTAGATTACGTGATCTGCCTTTACCCAGCACCAACCTCTGCCTCGCGCAAATAAATACACAAACACGCACGCAAACACGCACCCACCCCTCAGCAGCGTTAGGGTTTCCGGCACTCGTTCTCCATAACCGTGGTATTTATACATGCAACACATCACTAGGTAAATATACAAGTCTTAAATTAAAGAAAGGTGCAAATAAAAGTGCCTTATCAATTTTTCACAATTAAGAATAGTCTAGCTACTAATATCATACATGTTATTTAAAATAGATTCTATAGACATTATTATTATTTTTTTCCGTATAGTTTGTACTTATGATCGTATACCCTGTAACAATGGACCCTTGCATTGCATCGATGTTGGTGGTCGGACCGTTACGTTACGTTAACACCATTCCGGAGAGGGACTTAATAGCAGATGGCCTTAAACGATATCACTAAGCAACTATGGTAGATGGAGTCTCTGACGGCTAAAAGCAATCGCGACTAGAATTACCAGAATTCTACGTTGTTCCTTCTTTTTTTTCTCGATTGTCCGTAGAAAGGTGCTGTTTTGTGTTGACTCCACATCACACTCCTTCTCCGTATCTCTCTTTTTCTCTCACTTTGTATTCTTCTTCATTCGGTGCTGGTTTGACATCCCAAAAAAGGAGCAAAAAAAAAAAATCCAAGTGCACAGGGAGGAAGAAACTAACCACGTATTTTTCTACGTAGACTTTTTTTGGTGCTACAACAACTGCTGGAACAGTTCGGATAATCGACTTTTTGATCGCAACTTTTTATTTCATGTTCTTGGCTTGAAAAGGGCTTATGTGTTCCTCTTCCGCTGGATTCCAGGCGAATGCTCTCTGGGAATAGTTTTTCCGTTTTGGAAACGAGTCAAAACAATTTATGCTGATCGTGACAAATCGCCATGGGACTGTTCGCGAAAACGAACGCGTGGACTCTTCAGGTTCAGCCAGAGAGAGAAAGAGAGCGAGGGAGCGTTCGGGAAAAACAAGTGTCTTCATCTTCTCATCCTCTCCCCCCCTGGGCTCCGAATCCCACCTGTGTCAGTAAAAGGAGGGAACAAACCCCAAAAATAAACCGCTAGAGTCAAACCCAGTCCATTACCTCCTCCCCCACAAAAATAATCACAACGAAAAAAAGGGGAAAGTGTATGTGCAGTGTGTCGTCCGTCCAGGTGTGTGTATGTGCAGGGCACTGCTAAAGTGTCTCAGATTTATGCTTGACATTCCCCACGGTGTGAATTCCCCGGGTGGGGTGGGCGCGGGGAAGCGCTACCCATCAACGGGCATGGACTGCTCAAAGTCTGATCCAAACAACTCCTTGTACAAGGGGGGGAAGTGGGCACGGACAATGTCTGGGTATATTGCTTTGAACGCCGTCAGCTTTTCCGTATGCCGGCTGCACAGGGCTCGCAGCGTTGAGACTTTGCATATCAACTGCAGAAAGAGAGAGAGAGAGAGAGAGAGAGAGAGAGAGAGATTTTAATTTGGTGGAAAGGACCCTGTGGTACTGGGTCAAAAGGCAAAAGGCAGACCCTCTAATCCGCAGACACAACACAGATGGTCCCAGGTTTTTTACATGACATTAGCTAATCTTTCGGCCGCCAGACCAAATACAGCTTTGTGGATGAAGTCATACATGAAATTCAAATTGACCCTATTTGCTTTCTTAATAAATGTCCCTGGGTCCTATAATGCAAATGATTTACACAAGGGGTCTGCAGAAAATTTACAAGAAAAAAAAAAAGTATTTACTTTTTTTCCCCAAAATGTAATTTCACAACTGTCAAATTTGTTTACCACAATATTATTTAACAAATTGAATATTATTATTAATTCATTTAGCTTTCTAATGACCAGTTGAAAATGATTTAATTCAGTGTGGTTATTGTTAACTAAAACTATTGACAATTGTTTTCAGTGATTGAAATAAAAAAATAATAATAATTATAAATTATAAAAATATATATTTATATAAATATGCAGTAAATAAAAATATTAGATAAAAAACTTAAACAAAAAATAAAAATGTTGACTTGGCAAGTAACGGAAATAAATAAGTTTAAGTTTAAATATTAAAATTACTAAAACTAAAATTTAATAAAAATAAAATAAAGCTAAATAGAAAAATAGAAAAAAAAACAATAAACTAATAAATATGACAAAAGCATAGCAAAACTGCTAAAACTAAAATTAAAAAGAAACCCGGATATATAAAAATACAAGCGACAGTAATTAAAAATATCAATAGAATATAAATAATGCTAAAACAACACTAATTTAATTATTAATCATTTATTCTATTTGCAGCCCTAGTTTTTAACAGAAAGAGATAAGAACAAAACAAATTTGTTTTTAACAGAAAGAGATAAAAACAAAACAAATCTGTTTATTCTTTTATTATTTTTTTTGGATTTACACATATCATTTTACTGTAATACTTGACAGATTTATCTGTAAAACTGTAAACATAAAGTAAATACTTTCTCTATAAATATTTAAATAATTTGCTTTGGTATAATGACAACATAATCATTTGATTTAGAAAAAAAATCTTTATAGTATAATACCACATTCACATATTATAAATTAATATTAATTCATATTTTATATCTTACACAGTTATTCGAATAAAACAATATAGAAATACATAGGAGCACATAAAAGAATATAATATATAAGAACAGAAGATTACAGATAATACATATAATGACATCATATCCTGTTCCGTATGTGTACAGTACCTTTGTCAGTATGCCGTCCTCTCTGTGGTTCTTCTGTAGAACATGTTGGAGGGCCAGCTGGATCTTCTGCTGGAGTTTCTCCACCTTCACCTTCTCCTGGAGCCAGGATCGATCTAAACACACACACACACACACGGGCACGAGGATGAGACACTTTCACATATACAATCTGAGCTGTCCCAACTCCACAAATCGTTTTGATGGTAAACAAGGGATTGTGGGTAATTTATGGGTATGCTTTAACACAGAGCCAGGCTCACCTGCAGACATCAACACGAAGGCGGAGAACAGGGCGATCTCGTCTTCAGAGAGGTGCATAGAACACAAGCTTTTCCCAAACTCGAAGACAGAGCTGATCAAGTCGTCGCAACCTGTCACCGTGGAGACAGAGAGGAAGAAGTCGT